CCACCCCTGCCATGGGCAGGGACACCTTCCACTATCCCACGTTGCTCCAAGCCCCGTCCAACCTGACCTTGGACACTTCCAGGGAAGTGGAGGCCCTCAGGATGTTCCCACCAAACCAAGGGAAGCAATGTTTGCACCCGAAGCCGGAGTTACAGAACTGCACAAAACACGCCAATTCCTACGGGATTTATTTCCACACTCCCCCCATTTCCTTTCCTTGGAAGCCAAGCATCCTCAGCTCCCAAAACCGGGGGGTTTCGTACCAAAGAGCCTCAAGTCACAGTCCAGAAGAAGTGGTTATTCCAGGCAAAACCCGCTGGGAGCTGCCACCCCCATTCCTGGCGCTCCCAGTGTCCCAATATATACAGATTCCTTCTTTGTACAGGTCATAATATACAACATATTTATATATATATAAATGTATAGAGGGGGGTACTCACACACAGACACACGGACACCTCGGGCCGGGAGCAGCCCCCCCACAGCCCGCAGGGAGGGCGCCGCTCCCGCCGCCCGGAATTCCCACTTTCCATGCAAACTGCTGGTTTTCAGGGAAGAAACTCCCCATTTTTTTCAGTTTTTTCCTCCTAATAAAAATAACGGGTGATGCACCTGGGGCAGGGCCACCCCCGGCAGCTGTTGGGTGGCTTGAGGTAGGTGCCGGGTTGGTGGGGAATCCCGGGAATGCTGCAGCAGCAACCGGAGCTGCCAGAGGAGCAGCGCGGGGGGAGTCCCGGGATCTGCCAGATGAGCAAGGTGGGGAGAGAATGCTGGGAAGGCTGCAGCATCCACGGGATCTGCCAGATGAGCAGCGTTGGGGGGAATCCCGGGAATGCCACAGCATTGGTGGGATCTGCCAGGGGAGCAGGGTGGGGAGAGAATCCCGGGAATGCTGCAGCATCAACGGGATCTGCCAGATGAGCAGGATGGGGGGAATCCCAGGATCTGCCAGATGAGCTTCCTCGGGGGGAATCCCGGGATCTGCCAGATGAGCACAGTTGGGGGGCAATTCCAAGAATGCAGCAGCATCAGTGGGATCTGCCAGATGAGCAGGATGGCAGGAAATCCCGGGATCTGCCAGGTGAGCAGGATGGGGGGGAATCCCGGGATCTGCCAGATGAGCGGGGTGTGGGAGGGTCCCGAGAATGCTGCAACATCAGTGGGCGAGTGAGGAATCCCGGGAATGCCATAGCATCAGTGGGATCTGCCAGGTGAGCAGGGAGGGCTGGGATCCCAGGAATGCTACAGCGCCAGCGGGAGCTGCCAGATGAGCAGGGAGCTGTCGCCGTTGCCCGCCCTGTCCCTGTGCGGGCCGTCCCCGCGGAAGTTGCGGTACCCGCG